GAAGCTGGAACGTGGAAGATCGAGTTACGTATGTGTATTAATTTGAAATACACGTGTAAAGGAATGGATAGGTGCTGATAGGGTTTTGTAGGAACGATAAGTTTATTCATCTCTTGAGTTATATATCTTGTTAGTTAAAAGTCTTATTGTCAGACTAAGTATCTGGTACGTTTGTTTCAAAATTGGTAGAATAAAATGACACTTCGTACGAGTATATACGTAATAATAATTATGTTATTGTGTATATTAGTGAATTGTAAAACGAGGGCTTGTATTTAAATTTGTATTTTAATTGTAGTGTATATTAATAATGTAACGTATTACGAGACGATGCGTGTTAATAATTATATTGTAGAACATACGTGATATTGAAACGTTTTATAAACTGAAACTCGGTATTGGATAACAAAAGTAAAAAGAGTCTCAAGATTTATTACATGTGTTACAATGTGAAAACTCAGAAGAAGATAACATTAAATTAAAGCCCGAGTTTTTGACACAGATGTCAAATAGTAAAATTTTGACACTTTAATAAAATTTCTGAAAAATAGATGTTGATTCCGTTTCTAAAAGTAAAATGACTTATCGGATTCTTGAGATTAGATGAAATAATCTGAAAGAAAATTAAAAAGATTACAATTTCGTTTTTAATGAAGAAATTTCCATTTGAGGAAACTTGACTTTAAACCAGAATGCAAGAGTGTCAATGATAAATAATAAAATTTAGCGAAATTAAACTGAACGTCAGTGACTGCGTAAAATTAATTAAAAATTTGATAGAAGTGGTCGAATTTACCCACAAAAAGGAAAACATTTCGTCGTGGTAGAGATCTTTTTTAAAAACTTGTAGCAAGTTTCTTTCCAAGAAGAAAGAATATTATAAACTTCAAAGAAAAGAACCCACATTGATACACGTATAAAATATAGTATCTCTATACTTTATGCAAAGATAAAAATGATCGGTCCGATTGAAAAATCGTTCATATTTGTGTACTTAAATATCCAAAAGTATATAGAACATAAAATACCCTTTACGATCTCATCAAACTGAAACAAATTTAAATTCCATTTCTTTAATTGTACTCGTAAAAACACGAGTTTCCATTAACATCCGCAGTCCACTAACAACCGTAATTACCTGCATCCTTCTTAACCTTAAAACTTCCCATAGCGATCAGAGCGTAATAATGTTTCACTTCCCTGCTAAACTAGCGTTAGCCCTCGCCGCTGCTGTTTAATATCTGCGAAACAATTTCCTAGCGAACTCGATAATTTCTGGTGGATTCCTTCTCACAATCTCGTTAACCTCAACGAGATTGTGCTTTTACTCGATACTTTACATTCACCACGCTCTGTCCCGCTTCGAATCGCTTGAGACGAGAAATCCAGGGATCCATAGATCCTTGTCCTAGCTATTAGTTGATCGAACTTGATCGCAAATTTTATTTGGAACAGAAAAAAAATGACGATTATAAAATGAACAAATTGTTCAATTTTACGATTAAATGGTGATTGCATGTAATTATAAAACGGATCGTCGTTTCGGAAATGATGCAGGGAAAGTAATTTTATTTAGCGTGAGATTCAAATGAATTATTTTTTGAACGATTTGCGTCGATCGAGTTGTGTTTAATTGTCCAAAGTAAAAATTTACTCAGCAAGAGACCAAATGAAAAGTTATTTCGCTCGATGGCCAAATAATGAGATAAATAAGATAATATATGTATTATTCAATTCATTGTATCTGATCATATTATTCGAATGAAATTTGAATAAAGTATCTGAAAAATTATTCAAATAACGCATCACGCGAATGATATTTCTCAAAACTACTCCATGTATGTGCTGTCAAGTAAAATACCTTTTTATTTTAATTTCTCCAATAACTTCTGGTTCTATTGTTGATCATATACTCTGTGAACATTATCAACTGCGTCAGAAATTTAGAGAAAATATTAAAAATTCTTATTACTCTCCATCTTAAAGTAAAGCACCATCTTGTATCGACGACGACATTATACGATTCTATGTAATTTTAATTCAACAAAATATTCGACTTGAAACGCATGATTTGATTGAATCAATCGTCCTATAGTTGTTTCCGAAAGAAAGTATCAGAAATGGCGCGTCGTTTCAAATTTTCCGTTATTATTCCTTATCTTCGTTCGGAATAAAAAGCCGTAGCCGCTACTTGCGTGCACTTACTGTTGCGTCCTCGCCGCGCCACAAGTCAAAAGATCCAATTTTAAGCACTCGAGCCTGTTCCCACCGATGAAGAGAGGCATATCCCCGATATAAATCCCCGTTGTCGAAGAGAAAGAGCAAACTTCCTGTTCGCTCCCTTGCCTCGGCTCCTATTTTAAGATCTAGTGTGACCAAGTCAAGTGTGATCGTCCTCGAGCCGATCCTCTCTCGTCGAACGATCGGGCGAATCCTGAAGAGAATGAGAACCTCTGCACCACCTCCGGCCCTACCGTGATAATGCGTGACAATTCGAATTTACTTGCAATTACCTATGGCCGGATGATCACGTGACGCCTGGAAAGGCGATTAAAGCGGGCTTCGTACCGGGCAACCTGTGTTTCTGTCGGCAGAAACGAGCCTATTCCTCGAACGGTATACGCGGCCACTGCCTGGTAGACCGTAACTAGTTGACTGGATTCGTCGTTCCTTTTCATTTATTTCCTCTCTTTTTCTTTTCTTTTTTTTTTTTCTTTTTG